GGGGCGACGGAGCGAGGGGGCGTGGGGGGCGACGCGACTCGGCGAAACGCGAAAGTGCAAACAGCAGAAAATAATGGGACGCTTCGTCCCCCGAAGAAAAGAGAAAACTATTGTTTCGTCGATAAGCCTCGAGTTATTATCAGCTGTGCAAACGTTCCTCGCGAAGAAATTTGTAAAATCAACATTTGCGTAAGACGCTGAAAAGCTCCGTTAATGGAGTCCGGGACACGGTTCGGTCGGGAGGAGGAGTAGCGGAGGAGGCGGAACAAGATCGTGTTGCGTCGATTCGAATCGCGGTTGGATTCGATTGCGAATCCGTTTCCGTCGGCGTCACGGCGCGTGCTGTCCCATTGTCTCGCTTCCGACGAGAAGAATATCCGGATTGATTCCTCCGCGACGCTCCCCCGGCCGTTCGCTCGGGACGCGATGATCGCGAGCGGAGAATCGAACGCGGCCACCTGTTCGGTGCGCAATCTCGAACGCTCTCGGGATTAGCGGTCGCGTCCGGAGCGGGCCCGTTCGAGAACGCGCTCTCTTTCAACGGCGAGCAGGAATCGAGGAGATTTCGCCGGAGAGAACGGTCGATCCGATACCGTTAGTATTTACGCGTTGTTCGTTCGCCTCCCCTCCCTGCCGGCGCGAGGTACGCTTACTCGGGAGTTTTTCTCCACGGAGGACCTTCGTGTCGCTCGGTCGCCATGCGAAAGCGAAACCGCTTCGAGGAAGCTCGTTACGGGATAGGTTATGTTCGGCGGACGTTAACGGTTCGATCAGGATCCTATAGAGCTCGCGATGATGACGTTTCAGAAAATTCTCAGTCCCATCGGTTTCCCGTGGATACGTTAAGGATGAAAGGGGAGGAGAGCGAGCGGAGAAAACTCGATTGAAGCTGGCTGGATGGCCGTTGAAGCGGCGTTTATCGCGGTCCCGTGCACGAACGGCGAGTTGCGTTGTCCCGATCGCGTAACAATCCCGTGCGAGTAAATTGCCGCTTACCGCGGGCGCAAGCGTATCGGTGTGTACGTTTTAATACGATTGGAATGCCAGCGAAATTAAAGCTGCCTTTCACGAGAGGACGTAACGTAACGACTCTTTATGAACTGCGACGAAATCCCACCTGGACCGAGCCGGGCCGACCCGTCCCGACCCGGCCCGGCCCGGTTCGGTTCGGTTCGGTTCGGTTCGACACGGCTCGTCGCGACGAGGCTCGCAACGCGCCTCGCAACGCCTCGAAACGCCTCGCCCCGCCTCGTGTGTCCCCTCCAGCCTAGCTGTTCACCGGCACCGCTGCCGTGGCCTACTTTCTTAGAATATTCGAGTAAGCGAGAGGCGTCGATAGATAATACTCGCGTTAAACGCGCGTACAAACGGACAACTCGTGTTTCGAGTTTTCCCATTTCTTCGCCGTGCCGCCGCCGCCACCGCCGCTTGTCCGCCGCCGCGTGCTCCAAGCCACTTTTCCTCTCGCGCTCCGGCCGAAAGCGAGTCCCGCGCTCGAACGATTTTTCAGTGGACGTCTACGAGTTTACGGATCCGCCGGCGGCCGTGAATCGCGGATTCTCCCACCGACCACCGCCGCACTCCCTTTCCTATTTCCTCTTTGTTCCGACAGTTGCGCCAACGGCATCTTTCAATCGCGCTCGATGCGTCATAAAACATTCACGACCTATACCGGTCGGTAAACGAGTCGGAACCCGATATCGATTAGTTGATCGATCCTCTTTCACGGCGAAGTTTTCTTTGTATGATTTTTATAGTTTGATCCGCCTCTCGATATTTGCTACCCTTGATCGTCTGATGTAGACACACCGGGAACGGAACCTTTAACTCGAGACTAGGGAGCAATTAGCGAGAGACTAATTGAATAAGAGAGAAGAGAGTTAATGGCGGAGCGACGCGTCGTGTAGCGGCCGTTTGAGAAATTCGGAAATCGTAACCGAGACATAACCTAGAACCCCTCACTGGAGACTAGGGACTAATTGACACTGGAACTACCGAGCAGTCAAGTTGATTTTTTTGTTGTTTTGCTATAAGAATTATAAGAATGCGTTTATTGAGATTTCAGTTGGATTATCTCTCATGTTGCATATTACTAAATCTTCGTAATTTCTTCGAGTAGCGTTAGTATCTTTTCAACGGTTATGAAAGAAGAAATCGAGAATTGTTTTGATCCATCTAGTTCTAGTGTTGATAAGAAAGTAATTAAACAAGAGAGAAAAAGAATGTTAATGGCAGAGCGTTGTGTCTCGTTCGTTTGAGAAAATCGTAAATCGTAACCAAGACCTAACCTAGAACCCCTAACTGGAGACTAGGGACTAATTAATAAGAGTAATTGAATAACAGAAATAGACTTAATGGCAGAGCGGTCGTGTCGCGTGCATTTGAAAATCTTGGAAATCCCAACAAAATCTTAACCTACAACCCCCAACTCGAGATTAGAGACTAATTAATAAAAGAGTAATTAAATAGAAAAGTAAAGTTAATGGCAGAGCAACGTGTCGCGTCCATTCGAGAACTCCGGGAAACGAAATCCTAACCTGGAAGCCCCAACTCGATTTCAGAGACTAATTAATAATCGAGTAATTAATAACAGAGAAAAACAGAACGAACGGCAGAGCGACGCGTCGCGTCGCGGCCGTTTGGGAAATTCGGAAATCCGTTCTAGGCAGTGCTCGCACGGAACGGATACCGAGTGTATCGTTGTTTCGATTGGGGGATGGTAGGGGGTCGATTCGGCTCGGCTGACGGCAGTGGCGGCTGTCCGAGCGATGCCGTGCCGTGTTCGCCGCGTCGACTCCCCTGTCGCGAGATTCATCCCCACCGCGAGCGCGTGCCACGAACCAAAGGTTCTTGAATCATTCCCGCGCCGGCCGCCGCGAGGAGCGCGCGTCGTTTTGCCACGCTGTCACCGGTTACGCCACGAATCGAGCAGAGCCGAGTCGAACCGAGCGGTCGAGTGCGTTGCGCAGCAATTCGAAACTCGATCACGCGCTGTCTTTCTCGTGTCGGTCCAGTGCTGCTCGTCTACGTGTTTACACGCGGCCCGTACGCCGACTCGATGTTACGCCATCGCTCGAACATCGCACCGTCGTTCCGATATCCCGAACAGGTATTGTACGCGCTTTAAGAACAGTGTCGAGAATCATCGTGTGATCCTCTCATATCCCGCACGATCCTGCCCGTCGTGTATTATTTCCCCGATTTCATTCCCGAATATTCCCCCCTTTCGTCTTCAAACGAAAAAACATATATATCCTCCCTCCGACTTTCTCCGTCCCGCTCCGGACCGCGTGCAGTGAAACCGAACGAACGAGTCCGGCTTTAGGAGTAACAGTGTGCTTGGTTTGTGCGTACCTGTAGGCTGCACGTGCGCTCGAACGCGACGACTTGGATTTCGGCTGGTCGCATGCCCGCCGGTATCTCGCTGTATCGGTAAGTCGATGACACTTTGGCGATACGACCGGATCGCGCGTCTCCCTTCCCGCGAGTTTGCCCGCGATTCGCGTCGTCGCGATAACGAGAGGTTACGGATTCGACGCTCGTATTTTCTCTCGGAACGCGTACCTGCGTGAACGTGTCGGCCGCCACCTCTCGGACGCTCCGCGTACTCCGCCTCTCGAACCGAACCGTATCGAATCGACTCGAATCGAACCGAGCGAGCCCGAATCGATCCAAATCGCGCCACGATGCAAAGACGGGACGGGACACGTTCCTTATGCTTTCGAGTTTTAACCGTTACCTTCGGAATCATTCTCTCTAACGTTTCCGTTATCATAATAATCTCGAAGAAGCTTTCCCGTTTCGAAAACCACGGGAGAAACGTGAAAAGAAGAGATCCTAAAGATTTCCGGGTATTCAGCGTCGCGGAGCCTGGAATCGAACGTTTCGATGGAAATTGAGAACAACTGCACGCGCAACGAGGGGAGCAACGAGCTGCGAATTACAAAGAATAATCGTTTCGAGCATCCTGGAGTGGGGGTAGGAGAGTGGGATGGTGACGGTTTGCCGACGGGGGTGGGGCGCCGCGAAACAGGTTTAACGTTGCTTACATCGAGTAACAGACCTGTACAAGTATATCTATTAGATCTCTGTTCCCTTTGCTCTACTGCGTTCTCCCTTCTATACTCTCTCTCTCTCCCTCCCTGTCTCTCTCTCTCTTTCTCTCTCTTCTTTGTACTCGTTTTTCGGTTTTCTCGTACTCGTCTCGTCCGAACGCTTTCTCTTTCTTCTCGGTTCAACGAGAACTCGCGAGGAGTATCGTTCCGGGATTTACACCGGAGCGGTCGTTAACGATGGCCGAAATAGAGACAGAAAGCGCACCGCGTCTCTCTCTCTCGTCCCAGTCGATCGTCCCGATTACGATGCTCCCCGCGAATGCGCTTACACGCTTTGCAACATCGGATTGCCCGGAGAAAAGGAAAGTCCCGTAACTGGATATTGCTGGAACACGCTGACCGATTAAGAGCCTCCACTTTTTCTGGCTTTTCTTCGTGGATCCACTCGGATTTACTTGTTGGTCTGCTAGTGTTTGTCCACCTAGCACCCTA